AGCAATAGCTTATAAAAGACAGATGGGTGAGACATGGGGAGGAGCATCAATGATAGTAACGGTGACATCCTAATATATTCTCATAGATACCCAGAGGATGTCACTTTAAGAAAACAATCATGACTTTGATATTCAGAACAGCACTAAGAGAAACCAGGCAACAAGCAAAGAAAACAAGGATGCAGTCAATATTCTTTGTCATTGTTTTTTATTATATTCTTGTTCATTTTAGGGAAACAAAACCTGGGAACTAGACCCAAGAGTTAACATTTGACCCTTCACAGTAGGTCCAAGTCTTTTCTTTAGAGATTGAGGTAAAGTTTCTATCCTTGCCCCTAAAACTTTAGTATCTAACCGTGGTGAGAGTAATGTATTTGTAGAATACTTTAACAATAATCTTCTTTTTTACTTAAAAGTAACTCATTAGGAAAGCTCATGGTTTCTATTGAAAGCTTAGGGGCATTTAAGTGAGTAATATTTCCCCACTGGTATATTTTAACATGTTGATCTTAGTGAAGAAGGGGTTAAATTGAAAAGATCATAAGCCCTACTGATAAACTACATAAGAAAAAAAAATGCAGATGTTTTTTCTGCTACATTTCTAGATGTATAAATTTGTTTTGGACTCTGCATGTAGATATAAAAAGTTGTATTCAGAAAATATTTGCCTTTCTAAAATGCTAGATTGGTTTTGTCTTCTTGAAAGTATTCTCTTGTGAATTATAACTTAACCTTATTTTAGTCACCCTTGGCCCTAATCTGTCTTCCAATTTTATCTCTTGTGTTCTTCACAGTCCTACCCTGCAATGTAGAAATACCAGGCTGTGTGAGAGTCCTAGACCCAACCTGCTTCTCACTCATCTTCTCCTGGCTTCATGCCCTGCCTTCCTTTCCTGAGATTGCTAGCTAAGGAACTCCTTTTCTTCTAGCACCTGCTCTGTCTGGCTTGGGAGCTGCTTTGTTGATCTGCAACACTCAGTGGCTTCTTGTTTGGTGCTCTAAATGCCTGCTGTGTTGTGCTCATCTCAGTGTGTTTGGCTGTCATTGTCCTTGGGCTTCTCCTTATCAACTGTGAGTGCCTTAAGAATGGATCGAATTCACCTTCACTTGTCATTCAGCAGCGCCTCAGTAAGTCTACCAAGTTATTCTCTAAAAGGTTGCTACTATATTAGCTTGTTTCTGCTAAAAAACAGAATCAAACTTGAGATCTAGACTTGAATTATTTGTCTATGGTTCTTCAAGGCCTATCTTACTTTTTATTTTTGTATTTTCAGTCTTTATTCTCTGCAATTTAACTAGTTATAATCATACTATGCCTCTGGATCATGCTTTTAAAAATTACAGTGTAGTTTCTCTGCTGCCATCTGATCTTCATAGTTCTCATCTTTAATGATTCTGTAAAAGCTTTACCAATTAGGTGATTTATGCATTTCTTTCCCTTCAGGTACTTAGCGTTTTTCTCTTAATTTTTAAAATTTATGGCTATAATAATGGTAGATTGGATACATTTATGTTAGGAATGCCAGAATGCTGAGGAAAGAGCCAAGGATTGAATTCAGAGGTCTTAGTGGCACCTGAACTTAGTGTCTCTTGTGTAGCTGTGGACCCTGAGCACTTCTACATGTATGGTGAATTGTATATGTGACACATGATTCTTGGAAGGACCAAGTGAAATCCCATAAGGGGAATTATATTTGTGGGATCCTTAATTTGGGTTAGGTGTTAAAATATTCTTATGTGATTTTATTGAATCCTTGGAGCAGCCTTATAAGATCAGTTGAAAGAGTCTTTCAACTTGCTCCAGGTCTGATATTGAGTGCTGAGATCTAAACTCAGTGCTATACTCCATAAACCTTTGTCCTGAAGCTTCCTAGAGAGATATCAGCCCAGCCAGCAAACCTCTACTCTGAAATAATACAGAAGGCTTAATTTTAAGATCTCCATTCTATGGAATATTCAGAGAAGAAAAGCTTTTAGCAAACATGATCATATTGAGATACTAAGGACATTTTTATTACTGATTAGTACTTATAAAACTTCTAACAACAACAAACTTCACAAATTTCTAGTAAAGAATAGTGAGTTCAGTTGTCAAAACCTGACTTTGAGATACGATCTTGGCACAAGACTGGCAAAAAGAATTAGTGCCACAGAAGAGGAAATAGCCCATGTGAGGATGAATGGAAAGGGAACAGGTTTGGAAAGACTTGGCCTAGGGCTGTGGCATTTCCAAGGTGCTGTGGAGCTTCAGAGTTGGAAGGAAAGAGAAAGGCATTGTGGTTCTTTTTGCAGTATGGGGATAAACTGGAATGGGAATGAGGTGTACCTGAGTGCAGAGTCCAGCCAGGAGATGTTTATGATCTTTAGATGAATAGGAAAGGAAGCTATCATATGACAGAAGTAGAATTAACAAAATTTATTGTAATTTTCCTTCTATAATACAAATCGGATCGTCAGTATTGTGTAGGATTAAGAGCATTTGTTTCATTACCACTCTTCCTGGGTTTGAAACCCTAACAGTGTGACCTTGGACAATGCTACTTAACTTTCCATAAAAATGTGGAGAATAATAGTGGCACTCATGGCATAGACTCATTGTAAGGATTAAATGAAATACTGCACATTGGTGGCTTGACACAGAGCCAGTGTAACAGTGCAGAGTAAGTATTCAGCGTTGTTTAGTATTGTCGTGTCATGTCCTACCCTACATACACTTCTCCTGATCTTCCCTGTCTGATGTCCCAAACCCTAGCATTTGCTATGATGTCGCTGTATCCAACTCCATAATTTCTATGTCCAAGCTCCAATTATCAGTTTGTCAAGCTATGGCAAACTGAAGGCCACATCAGCATCTTCAGGGGCACATGCTACTACTCATTCTGGTAGCTCTTAGCTTTGCCAGGAGATGAACTCAGTGTAGTGAGCCTATCACCTCTGAAGAGATGTCAGAAATTGGACTTCTTATGAACCCTCTCAATTATTAACTTGGAACAACTAAGTCAGAATTCTTACATTTTTTTTTTTTTAGCAGGACTGGAGTTTGAACTCAGGGTCTCACTCTTGCTAGGCAAGTGCTCTACCACTTGAGCCACTCTGCCAGTCCCCAGAATTCTTAAACAGCACTCTTACCTGTGGTAGAACACTTGTCTAGCATGCAAGAGGCCCTGGGTTCAATTTACAGCACTGTCAAAAAACAAACATCAGCACTCTAAAACCAAACACAGCTCATATGCAGGCAGGTTATGTTTGCCAGCTTGCAGCTTCTGCTTCACGCCTTCCTCTAGTCTTGCACACTGCTCACTTTCCCTGAAGTGAATGATTGTCCTTTGTGCATTAGTGCTTTCACACATGCTAGGCTCTGCCTGGGCTGGCCATGGTTCTTTCTTTAACTGTATTTTTCTTTTAGACATGGCTCAACCTATTTTCTCTGAATACATCATGACCTCCATTGTGATGCCAGAGCACTTTGTAGATCTTTCTATTGTATACTACTTCTAGAATAGTATTCATTTACTTGTTTATCCAACACATAATTACTAAGAACCAAAATGCATGTCAGCTACAGCCATAAAGCAGAATGCTTGTTCTCCTGGCACCTACGTTACAGAGTGAATGTTCATGTAGTTTCTTCTGTGAGAAGGTGGGATCCTTTAGGACAGGGACTATGTGTATGATTTCTTCAGCAATCAGGCCTGATACCTAGTATATTAGTTTCCTATTGCTGCTGTAACAAATTATCACAAACTTAGTGTCTTAAAACAACACATACTGATTAACTTACATTTTACAGAAGCTGAAAGGGATCTCACTAGGTAAAAATTAAGGTGTCAGCAGAGCTATGCTCCTTCTGGAGGCTCTGGGGAGAATCCATTCCCTTATTTATCCAGCTCCTCAAGCCTTTTGCATTCCTTGGCTCACAGCACATCCTTCTATCTTCTAAGCAATAAGTGCAGCTTCTTCAACTCTTCCTGTGACTATAACCTCCTATCTTGCTTTCCTTTCCACTTCCAAGAACCCTGGTGGTTTCATTGGGCTAACCTGGACAATCCAGACTACACCCTTCACTTCAGGTCAGTTCATTAGGAACCCTAGATCCTTTTGCAACCTTAATTCCCCCTTGCCAGACATGTAGGTTCTGGGAAATAGCACATAGTCATCTGCGGAAGTGGGGCAGGGCAGAGGGTAAGCATTTTTCTGCCTGCTGTACCTGGCAATCAGAGTGACTGACTGAAAGAATGAATGGTGAATGCATGTAAACTCTCAGAGGGTGGGAACCAGTATTGTGCTAGCCACAAACAGGCAGCAAAAGTAGTAAAGTCTGTGACTTGAAGGAGTTTGGTGATCCATGGAACTGGGGCGGAGGAGAGATTGGAAATCCTCTGCCTCTCTCTTTGGCTCTCAGACTAAACCTCTCTGATTCTTGCAAACTTCTCTGTAGATCTGACTCCTCGTTTTGTGCTTCCCAAGCACCCTCCTGAGGAATACATATTTCCTTATGCTAGGAACACTAGTTCTATGATTGCCCTTCCCCCCAGATTTTACAGGAAATGAAGGCAGTAAAACATACCTTGTTTTATTTCTCAAGTCTTAGTATTAGGCAGAGGGCCTGGCATATGGTATGTATTCAAATATTTGTTGAAAAAATGAAGGAATAAATAAGAGAATTAGAGAAAACAGTGTTTAAACTACCTACTACTTTGTCCTGCATTGGGGCTTTGTAGCAGGGGACCGTGAACTTTCTGATGTGTCACACAAAGTTAAGAGGGCAAGTGTGTGTGCTCGTCTTCTTCCCACTGGGAGCAAAGAACATTTATCAAGAGTCTCAAAGGAATCCATAACCAAGAAGAAGTTAAGAATTACTGTTCTATGTGCATGGAGTTTAGAGATAATATAGTTTGGCTATGCTACAGAGTAGGAGGGTGTTAGACTGTTCTGGGAAAGACAGACTGACTTTTCTTTGATGCTAACTGGACTTTGTACCTCCACTCCACCCCTGCCAGGAGAAGAGAGCATGCTGCCTCTGCTGACCCAGGACTCTAATTCCAAAGCTCGGAGGGGCATTTTAAGAAGAGCTGTATTTTCAGAGGACCAGAGAAAGGCTCTGGAGAAAATGTTTCAGAAGCAGAAATACATCAGCAAAACAGACCGAAAGAAACTTGCCATCAACTTGGGACTCAAGGAGTCACAGGTATTAAAGAACAGGAAGTTGTCTCCTGCTCCTAATTTCTGAAGGAGTACAAAGAAATCTATTCACTGGGCAAGAATTTCTTGTGTTGGGAATGGTGCTGAACCCTGAGGTATTCTTGAAATGCTTTTCATAATTTTTTTAGTGGGTGGAAATATATGTAACAATTTCTATTAAGAAATAGTCCATTTGCTTAGAGGTCTAGGATTTTGCAATTGGGTGGATTAGTTCTTCCAAATGAAGAGAAATGCTAAGAATGTAGCATTTATATCACTTTTTGCTTTATATTCAGAGAAGTAGGCTAATTTCCTTCAACAGAAGCAACCAATTTTCCTGTCTTTTCATTTTTAATCCCAAATCAAAGGATGAATGAGTGACTCATGATTCCTCTTGATGGGATTCATTATTCTGCACTTTGGATTTGTGTCACGTACAGTTAAGTCATTTTACATTTGCAACATTTGCACACCTTCCTTTTTCATTAATGTGTCATATAATTGTGAATGAGACCTTCTGGCTTTTTGATGGAACAGATACTTTAAAGTTTGACCCACTTATTATAAATAATTAACAATAAAGTGCTAGTATTTCCTATTTAATCCATTTTATAATCACCATGTGCCAATCATGCCCATTTTCTAGATGAAGAAATGTAGCAAATTGAACTCAAGTCTAGCATCATATAGCAAGGCTCCCATCCGAGGCAGTCTGACTGGAGTTTGTATTTTCCTTAACTTACAGCCACATATACAATTGTGCATGGTGTCCACTATGCAAGGACTTCTGGTGGAAAGGGATGACGGCAGCTGAAATGCAAGAGGTACTCTGCTTGCCAAGTTAGGTTCCCTGGTGCAGGCCTACATCAACCTGAACTTTTTTGAATTAGCGTATAGGAATGAAGGGCTAGCAGATCCTTGTCTGTACTATGTCTAACTACAAATGACCTGATTTTAACTTGGGAACTTATTGAAACCAGTTTTATTGAATGAAACTCTCTTTGACCTTCCTTCCTTTCTCCAAGGAACTGATCTGTCTCTACAACCTGTCTCCAACCTCCGACTTTTTTCAGTAGTAGAAAGCAGGATGTGGTGCGGTACAGGGCAATTGATCTACGTTGTTCAGTCTGTGTCCTCCTCATAACCTTAGATGATTGCTCTCTGCCTTGACTTATAAGAACAATCGTATTCTGTCTGTCTGTCTCAGAGTAATTTTGTGTATTAACAGATACATCAATAGCTATTTTTTGATGGTCTGTTTTGTGTACAACACTGATAGGTAGGCACTAAGAGGAAATACAATAAATACTGAGCAAAACATATCTTTTTAATCCCAGGAGCTCACACACCCAGTGGGAGCTCAAGAAAAGTTAGATAACAACATAAGACCATATAATAATATAGGGACATCACCTGGTGAGTTAGATATGCTGCCCGGTAAGGGAGCTAGATCAGTGGTGCTTAGAGTTGTGTATTGCTCTGAAACAATCACGTTAATCTCACCACCAGAAAGGACAACCCTGGGACTGGTCCTTATACCCCCAGGAGGCCTGGTGATGAACAAACAGAGGAGCAATTGGCCTGAGTGACAGTAATGTGGGGTTAGTAGGTCTAGCCTTGATCACAATGGCATGGATATTTTTATATCCATACCACATAGTCAGAGGGGAGATGATATTGCAGGTTGGGGACGTCTGCCTCTAGCTGAGTCAGAATGTGATAGATGATAAAAGAAAGTAGCTACGCTCCTTCTGATGGTGCTCAAAGAAAGTGTGATGATCTCTGATTCTATATAGATTGCATTCCTATAAAGAGATTCCTGAAAATAAATGCAACAATCATATTAAAAATTATGAGGAGTGCTGGGGAGGTGGCTCAAATGGTAGAGCACTTGTCTAGCAAGCATAAACCTTGAGTCTAAATCCCAGCACTGGCAAAAAATAATTATAGGGGATGACCATAATCTCATCCAATAAAACTAACTTTTCCTATTTGAATGCTATCTTTTTTTTCTTATACCTTTAGGCACATAGTTTTACTTAATTACATTGCTTTTAAAATTTAGGTGCCTCAGAATGAAAGCACCTTTTTGTCTTACTGAATTTGAGAGAACATCTCAGAAGTAATTTAGCATTTTTTATTTCCCTGTATATCAATTACACAATCTGTGGTACTTATTATTTTCAACTTAAACAAAAAGAAAATTGGTCAAGTTAAAAATGAAAACTCAGCCAGGTGAGGTAGGACATACCTGTAATTCCAGCACTTGGGAGGTGGAGGCAGGAGAATCATGAGTTCAAAGCCAGCCTAAGCTACATAGTGAGATCTGGTCTCAACAAACAAATAAACAAGCAAACAACAATCCAACACTGTGGTTACTACTATTTATGAATTGAATTTATTGAACACCATATATTATTTTAAATATCAATTTACACGTGGGCTGTGTCTATACAATATAATAATGCAAACACTTGCATAGTGCTTACCTTGTGCCCTCACATTTGATGTCATTTAATCTTTGCAAAGATCTTCTGAAGTAGGATTTTTATTTTGTCTGCATTTATTACTTCTACTTTACAAATGGAGCTGAGACTCAGAGTTGTGTGTGTGAGTATATATATATATATATATATATGTATTGTATTTTGAAGTAACGTGAATTCATACTGTGCATATATTTTACCTTTTCTTTAAGAACAGTACAAAGCACCTGTATAATCCAGCACACAGATCAAGCATTTGAAACCAGAGCCCCCAAGAGGTTCTCTCCTGGTCTACTTCTTTTCCCTCAGATATCCACTGTCCTGGCTTCTAACAACAAGAATTAGCATAACCTATTTTTGTACTTCAGAAAAATAGAATTATTCAGTGCACATTCTTTTGTACATGGAGGGTATGTGTATCACTACCAGTTTTGGTTACTATGAATAATACAGCTGGCAATGTATATTAATTTTCTCTTATCCCCCCTCCCTCAGTCAAATGTTGTGGGGTGCATCCTTCACGTCAGTGCATGTAGATCTACTTCATTCTCTTTCATGTGTCTCATTAAAGATCATTGTGTGGATATATCAAATTCACTTAGCCATTCTCAACTTTAACTTACTTTCAATTTTCACTATTGCATTTTTTATGTACTTTTAAAGTGTTTTTTGTAAGATGGGGAACCATGAGTGAGATTTATGTGCTATAGGGTATATATATATTTTAAGTTGTGATAGATTAAAAATTCCTTTCAAAAGCAATATTATAGAAAATTATATACTGAACTATACCATATATTCACTCTTATTAGTAAAGAGTTCCCTTTTGCAAACCTTTCACCATTTATCATTTTAGAAAACATCACCAGAAGTATGCATCACCAATGGTATTGTTATTTTTTTTTTAAATTTGAGTTTTCTCAACTATCAGAATTTTAGAAGCTTTTACTAATTTACTGGCCATCTGTAGCCTGTATATTGGCCTTTTCAGAGCCATATATTTTCTACTTATTTTTTTTGTTGTTGCTACATAGAAATTATTTTGGATGTCAATTGACATATTTGGAATATTATGATTAGTTACATTTTCCTATTACAGATGCTGCAAGAATTCCCTCCTTATTTGTGGCTTTATATTGTGGTAAAATATATGTAAGGAAATTAACCATTTTAACCTTTTTTTTTTCAGTAGACTTAAATATAGTCACATTGTTGGGGAACCAACACCAGTCTATTTCCAGAACACTTTTTATCTTATAAAACTTAAACTCTGCATGAAAATAAAACAAACAAGCAAAAAAATCTCCTCATTCCCCCTTCCCTCTGCCCATAGCAAGTACCATTTTACTTTGCATTTTTCTGAATACCTACTCTAAGAATCTCATATGAATGGAGTACAGCATTTGTCCTTTAGTTATTGGCTTATTTCACTTAGTATAGTGTCTTCAAGGTTCATCTGTGTTGTAGCATGTGCCAGAATTTCCTTCCTTTTTTAAGGCTGAATAATATTCTATTGTATGGGTTTACCATATTTTGTCTTATCATTCATCTGTTGATGGACAATTGGTTGCTTATACTTTTGGTTATTATAAATAATGCTGCTATTACTATAGATATACAAATATCTCTCAAGTTCCTGCTTTCAACTCTTTTTGATACTTGTGGCTTTTGCATATGCTTATAGTATATTTATTTGTACATAAATTTCTCACACATATATATATATATAGTCAGCTCTAACTTTTCTTTTGTGGCCTCAATGTTTTATGGCATACCTAAGAAAACATTTATCTCCTCAAGGCTGTAATGATACTTTCTTCTAGAGCTTTTATAGTTTTGTTTTCGTATTTTGCTACTTAATCCATCTGGAATTTGTTTTTGTGTTTGTTGAGAGAGCTAAAACTTTCATGTTTTTCCCCAAGTATATATATTTGTCCTGACACCATTGATTGTGAGGAAACTCTTTTCATGTTTTTTTTCCCATTAAGATAGCACTTAAATATTTCTCAATATACAGAAAAAGTAAGGGAAGAAAAAAATAATGGCTGTGACAGTAAAGGCCAGAACACTAATGGGAACCAAGGACTGTCAGTGAAAACCCATTAGAAGTACTTGGCATATTTTCTAGGAGTAAATGCCCACTGAAAATAATAAAAGAGTTCATGAATAGAGCCAAATGCTGTAGTATGTACACTTTAGAGCTGTTTTCTTATGAAAAGCCCCACTCTCGGGATTGTAAGTGAGATGGCAGTCTTTTGCACTTAATTTCCTTGGGTAAATTTCCTTTGCAGTCATTCTGAACATCCTGATTAGGCTGAATGAATGAAGAAATTGTTTTGTCAATACAGAAGAATCATCTCTGATGGAATTTTTTCCTTCATTGAGAGAAAAACTCAGTTGAGAACAATGTAGTAGTTATTTCTTTAGGTAAAAATTTTCCAGTTTTTGTTTTAAAAATAGAAATTAAATTTTTTTACTGTAAGGATGCAATATGGTGTACAGGAAAAGAATATATTTGACTTTCAAGATATCAGGAAACTGGGACCATTGAGTACATAGTGTATGAAGAGGTTTATTAACACAGAAGGTCAAGCTGAGAGTATTAGAGGAAGGTATGGTTCAAATCAGGAACTGCCATCATAAGCATTCTGGGCTTAATTATAAGCAATTCAATTGTCATAGTTTGATAAATCCCAGGAGTACTTGAAACTTGGAAAGTTGTATAAAGCTAACAGTTTACCAAAGCATTGTAAAATGTATTAGTTGCGTGCTGGTGTCTCATGCCTGTCAATAATCCAAGCTACTTGGGTGACTTAAGTTCAAAGCCAGCCCAGGCAAATAGTTCGTGAGAATTCATCTCCAAAATAACCAAAGCAAAATGGACTGGAGGTATGACTCAAGAGGTAGAGTGCCAGCTTTGCAAGTACAAAGCCCATAGTTCAAACCCCAGTCCCACCAAGAAAGAAAGAGACAGAGGCAGAGACAGAGAGAGAGAGAGTGAGAGAAAGACAGAGAGAGACAGAGACAGAGAAAAGAAGGAAGGGAGAAAGAAAGAAAGAGTAATGTATTCCTAACTTAGTTTCCAAAACTTCCCAACGAGGTCTGCATGAGCCAGAACACTGGAGGTGGACAGTCACGGATTCCAGTCCAAGTGGTTCTGTTTCACTAGCAGTATGACCATGAGCTGGTCAACCTTTGCTAACCTCAGTTTTCTTAGATGTAAAAGGAAGAATTCTCATAGCCATTCTGAGGATCAAGTTACAAAATCCACGTAGAGTGCATGGACTAATGCTTGGCATAAAATAAACACTTAGATGCTAGTACTAGTCAATACATTTCACTAGAATAAATAATTTAGCATTGTGAGCTAAATGATGTTTAAAAATACCTGAGAGCATTAAATCAATTTTGAAAGATACCAATTTACTGCATTGTTTGATTTCAGAAGTAGATATGAGAGTATTATATTAAAGTAATTTCTCAGATGTATTTGAAGGAGTCCAGAGTCCATGAGAAAAGCTACAAGGACTTTTCCAGGTTGGCTTTCTTTATTAGTATTTTGAGAATGGATAGTAGAAGCAATTAGAGTGGTAGACTGCTGGCCTAGCATGCATGAGACCCTTTGTTTCATCCCCAGCACTGCAAAAATAAATAAATAAAATGCTAAAGTGAAATAATCTGGAATAAGTGCTTATTTTGCTCACTTATTTTATCAATAGGTGAAAATTTGGTTTCAGAACAGAAGGATGAAATGGCGGAATTCCAAAGAAAAAGAAGTGCTTTCCAACAGGTGTATCCAAGAAGTAAGCCTTCCGGACGAGGCTCTCTCCCGATCTGCTCTGAGTTTCCCTTCTCAATGTCCTTCAATATGGGAAGTCTCCCAACAGCACTCAAGTCCCAGATGGAGAGAGAATTCCCCAGAACCTGCAGAAAGACTAACCCAGGAGAGTTCAGGGGCACCACCCCCAGAAGCAAATTCACTGCAAGATGCCTTGTATTTGTGTTCCAAGGAAGAAGCTGCAGACAAGAATGGACTTCCTGGGGCTGTCTGATTGGATGCATTCCACCACGTTAACTTAAAAAACACCTAATCGGTAACATTTGGACTCTAAAGCCAGTTAGCTTATGCCTCATCAATGCCTAAAACCTAACATCTTTGGAATGAAGCCTGAACTAATGCTTTAGGAAGCCCACTCCAGTATTCTCTTATTTAGCCCTAGACTCAGGCTTATTTTAAGTGGAATAGAACCTCCCAAGAAGAATGATGGAACTGAAAAAAAGTAAGAGAATATGTTGGCTCAGTCAGTCCCTGCTCTGAGTATGTGTATATATGTGAGCATCTCTGTATATACAATGTACATGTTCATTAAGATACATCAGTAGGAACTAGTTTCTCTTTATTGTATTGAGCAAATTTACTTCCTTTTATACAAAGAAAAATAAACCATTGAGAGAATATTACTAATTTTTTGGAATGTAAAATTTGGGCTTTAGTCAAATACCATAAAATATGCTTTTAAATTTTTTCTGTTTTCTGTTTTCTTTTAGAATCCAGCTATAAGTAAATTTTAATAGTCCAGTAATCCTAGTCAAATGAGCCACAGTAAGGAACATAGACTGAAGAAATACAGTTAGGATGAACTCAACAAGAAAATTAGTCTTTCTGAATGTAACTATTAGAATTCTTAATTTCCTAGTCTCTGGATTTTATCAGGCCATCAGCGAGAGAGGTACACATTTAACTAATAATTATCTTTTATCTTTTTGTAGGAATAAGCCTAGACCAGGGTTTGCAAAATAAAATGAATGTCTTTAAGAGCTTATGACATAAACAGAGGTCATGGCCCACTTAAAAATATTTGAGCCCAATAATTTTTCTAATACTGTGCTGGCCAAATGAATCATCTATATCAAGTATTTGTGACCTCTGGCCAACAATAAAGAAAGTTGTGCTGTCACAGTTCTTAAAATGTTTCCAACTGGACCAAAAACACAATTCTGATGAATAGATGATGGTTTCCTTTTATACTTCTAGTTACTGGCCCAATTTTCCACTTAGTTGGCATGCTCTACATTTATTAGGCTATTTTATGTATTAACAAACACCACACAGATGTTTTATGTTTTTTGACTACCCTGAAATAGTATTTTTATAAAATTACATTTCTGGTAATGATTTGCTTAGCTAATCCAGATATTTTAATTCCAAGTCCAAAAAAATTTATGTTTCATTTTGAAGGAAATGAAGCAGAAAAAGGAAACAATGTGGTTTTGAATTAAGCTGTCATTAATCCGTGGACAGGAAACATTACTAGAAGTTCATTTTGTGTCATTTTGTTACCGAACAGCCTACAGAATAAGGTGACCTTTAATTTGCTTACCTTCTCAGCTAGAGACTTTGAAGGTTTGGGTTTAGACAAGGTTAAGGTTGCAGAAGATAATGGTTTCAATTGACATCAGAAAATTATTTTTTTATGAATGGAGTTTGAATTGGTGTATGCGACCCAGTGTCTTTGTCACCTAATCTTTCACTTGAAAGTCATCCTGGAAGCTTTTCTCAGTGTCTCATTGTGAAGAATTTTCTTTATCTAGTGTTAACCTCATTTACATTTATAGGCTCTCTCTGTTAAAAACTGTGGTAAGTATTTAGAGTACTTAGCTCATTTGACCCTTATGACAATAACCTTATGACACAGGTAGCATTACTATAAGGGTTCCCTTACCCAGACAAGGGATTATCCAGGTGATTATCCAGGTTCATGAAGTTAATAAACAGGATTTGGACCTTGTCAATCAAGTTTCAAATCTTGAAATTTTATCAACCCTATGAGTACATAGCTCTGTGGAAAGTATTCACCTAACTGTGGGATATCTTGTAAGAGATACATCTTCCAAATTGCAGTGAAACCCACTAAAGAAATTCAAAAGTACATTGTATTTTACAATCTCTTACTAATGGTTTTCCCTTGAGTATTGTCTTTTCTTGTAGATTGTAAAGTTTTGAAAAAGTAAGGAATTATAAGTCTTCAAATATGAACACTTTATAGACAGTAGTCCCGTGGGAGTGTTTTAAGTGTGAAATGGAAATGTATTTTTTAAATCATTTCCTGCTAAAAATCATGAAGTGCTTGTCTGTGGTCAGTTTCTTGACAGTAACTTGAAACTCGAATGAGAGAAAACTGTGAAAGGCATGTGATTGCCTAAGTTGTAGAAATGGGCTAATTAGTGCTTAACTGACCTCTGTCAGGATTTGAGCTCTGAGATCCAGAACTCTGAGACCCAGTGGCAGAAGTTTTTCTTTATTAAACTGGCCTGATATTCAAGTATACAAACCAATCTTTTAGTTATCTTATATTTTGGAATGCTTTAAGGCTTAGAAACAATCACTTTAGATGGATATTTTAGCTCTAGGAACACACACAAAAGTGTAGACATGGCACACATGCAGGTGCACTTTGTGCCTTTACTTTTTATTCTCCTCCCTGAATTGCTGGAGAGAATGACTGAGCCCTGTTTTCTTATTGTCAAGAGTCCCCTTCCTCTTAGGTTGTGCTCTGCAAGCATCCCATGGTCTCATATGTGCATTTCTCTATTATCTAGATGCATGTTGCTCTTCTGCAAGTGATAACATATTAGTATTTTTTTTGTCTGCTTTCTAATTAGAACCAGGACTTATAAGCCTGGAGGTCAAGGCATTTTAAATTTTTCAAAAGAGATTGCCAAATGAATATTGAGCAGATGAGAAGAAATAAATGATGAGCACTAGCTCCTGTTTTTCTATATATTTAGGGTTGGAAATACATAAAGAGTGTAGGGATGATCACTGGCTCTTGACACAATGAGGGCTATGATCATGATCATTAATGGTTAAAGGGTTGGTCTATTCTTTTAGTAATAATATGGTTTGGATGGGGAACCCAATAATTTAGTTCAGTGGTTCTCAGACTTTGGAAATCCACACACATGATCATGCTGTACCTTCCAGCAAGTGTTGGCTATGCAGTCAGATTTGGAGATACACATTCTGTCAACATTCATACTTTCCATTTTTTTCACTTCAAATATAAAATCCTAAAAACTCTTTTCTGACCCACATGTGTTCTTTTTTGGCCCCCTTCACAAGCTTTCTGTTGTATCCCTTTAAAAGCTATGCACACCCTAATGTGCAGTGTGCCTCATCCATCCCTGATGTCCAGTGATTCTATAAAGCTCTGTAGGCCTACAGCACAATGAAGCTGTGCTGCTGTGTTCATACACTTGTCTGACACTGCATCTTTAGCCATTACAAATTCTCCCAGATACTTTTCCTTTGTGTTTCTACTCTTATTGGGCAATATGTCTGAAGCATTGTCCTAGCTTCTAAACAAATGTACAGAAGAATATGGTCCTTGCCCTCGGGGAGCTTAAAAGTTATCTCCTTGCCAAACAACTTTTGAAATACTCTATGTTGCTGGTGGTGGGATCCACTGAATTTGGGGCCAAAAAAAAAAAAATCTTACCATCCTCCAAAAACTCCACCTTTCTATTTACAGTGGGAGATTTCTTAAATGTTCTACTAATCAGAAAATACAAGCTGTGGGACACTGCCAATCTCCTGACCACTGTGGATCTGAGAGGAGTCAGGGGTCAGAAGGAGTCCAGAGAAGAATTCAGCAGCTTCCTTTTTGATTGCAGTGCCCTCAGTCCCAGTGGGGAGAGAGAAGAAAAAGCAAAGATTGTAAGTGGGAGAAATAGGGATGATGACTGTTCTTGAATGTATAAGGAAAATAATGCTGCATTAATTATATATATTGTTTTCAAACCATTTCTGAAGTAAGCAACTACCATAAGGAAATAGAATTGTTCCATGAAGATGGTTCTTAGCTTCCAGCTATTACTTGGGCTACATTAAATGGCATCACTATTTTTGGATATAAAGAAACACTTGGAAACATAGCTAACAATAAAATTCATATGTAATTTCATTATCTGGAGCTAGCCAATTTAGACCTTTTGTGAAAATTTTTCAGTTATTTTTGAATGTACGTATATGTAAATAACATGTGCCTAAACAAATTTGGATCATAGTATATATCCAATTCCCCTGCTTTTCATTTTTTAAAGTCAACTTTGTACACAGAACATTTTCTAATGTCATTAAAAGTTGCTTGAGACTATTTGTGATGGTTCTGCTTGTAACTCCTTTTCTTCTTGGGGTAGATCAGGGGATGGGACCAGGAGATGACAGGGCATGGAAAACAATGATCATAGGATCCTATATTTAAGAAAAATAATCTGTTGTTTGTTATGTTTTTAGCTAAATATAGCTGCAGCAAATAAACCTAAGAATGAAAATTGAGGAAGTTTGGGATTATACTTTCAGCATAGTCAACTATACCAAAGGGATAGTCTCTTCTAAAAACCCACCATCAAGCTTATCAAAATGTACCCCATTCAGAGTCCAAGGGATTTCAGTACTTAGCAGCAAACAAAAATGAATGGTAACATTTTACCTCTCTCTCATTGTGCTTTGCAGTCAGACTGATACATTATTCAGCTTTCTTGAGTCTGTGTGATTGTCTACAAAGAGAGCAACAGTCAAATAATTCATGGAAATCTATCATCTGTCACCACTTTGAAGGCTGAGATGATAAGGCTGGTTTACCTATTTTGCCTACAACTCTCACAACTTCATGGACATTCTCTCAAAGTTGTTTAAATGATAAAAAAAGTATGGGAAGAGTCTTTTGAGATCAGAATATTCCAAGGTTAAAAGGGAGCTGGGAAATCTAATATTATTTAAACCCAAAGCAGTTCCATCAGGTCCTTGATGTTAATTGAAAAATCAGGCATGTCAAATTTGAATAAGATCCAGTGATGTATTTCTTTAATAATGTATATCCAATCCTATGGCTATGAATTCCATTTCAACCAAATACTGAATAACCATTATAGTTTCCTAGGGCTGCCATAAAGATGACCACAAACTGGGTGACTTAAAATAGATTTTTTTCTTTTGCAGTGTGGAGGACAGAAATTCAAAAATCAAGGAGTCAACGGGGTCACACTGTCT